TCCTATAGTGAAAGACCCTTGTTTAGCTTTGTGTAACCCAGTGTGTGAGTCAGCATCTTGCCATTACGAGTGCTCAAGCGAAAATGGGAATTTGTTGGTCCAGGCAGTCAACAGTCTAGGGATTTAGGCCCAGTGGGTTCCAGGACCTTGAGTGATGTAAACTGTTATGATCTTCAGCTTTTGGTTTTTCTTCAGCATTTGGTTTTTCTTCATTGCCTTCTTAGGCAGACCCTTTTCATGTGGTGGCTTTGAACAATAAGCTCACAGCATTCTTTTAGTGAGAAGGTTTCTCCTTTCCAGTGATTCCAGTAAAAAAAATCCCTGAATTGAGTCTCTCGTGCCTGAGTTGTCTCATGCTGAACTCTGAACTGAGTGCTGTGGCCAGGCAGATAGAAAATACTTATTGTCCAGGCAGGAATCGGGGTCCACCCCTGGACTGATCTGTGTGTATGTGTGGGGTCAGCCTTGTGTGAACTACATGGACTGTGGGAGGCCAGGAGTGGGGTGGGTCCCCAAAGGAAAACTGAGGTGTAGTTTCCAGGGAAGGGAAGGATGAATGCTGAGCAGGCAGAAGCAACGCTTTCCAACGCTGACAATAGAACCCTTTTATTGTGTAAAACCCACTGGAACACACATGGACAAATCCTGCCAAGTGCTCATCATTCATTTTTCCAAATAAGTTGAGACTACAATAAAATACACATGTATGCAAGCATGTGGTTGAACCTGGCTTTGATGATTCAGAAACCTCAGTGGATCCTGCGGTGTTGCTGGGTCAGCTCTGAGTGTTGAAACATCCTGGTCCCTGGCCACTGAGATTCTTTGGCTTCTTGATAAATGGGAGGTTATGGTCCAGTCAGAGTGTAGGGCATGGGGAGCCTGGGAAAGTTCACTCCCTGGACAGTGGACACACTCATGCATTTCCGTGTTCTCTCGAGTTCCATCAGCAACAGCAACCGCCATCTCGCTTCATCCACAAAACCCTGTTGTCGTCATTGTCCCATCCGGGCCAGGGATTGCGGCTCGGAGGGGTGCCTCAATTCAGGGCATTTGAGGTGATGATGTTTGTAGAAACATAAATAAAAATCTTTGTAGATCAGTGAAGTTTTTGAATGACACTGCAGATTTTGAAGAAAGGGGCATGCTGGAGAGGTGCGAGAGGTTACTGAGGTTGACAGAAAAGAATGAATTTTGGAATGTTCTTAAAGGGTGGCTTGCAGTTCATAGGCATATGGCCTAAGAAATAATTAGGGTGGGCGAGCTTTGGGAATGGTCACTGTGTGTGTGTGTGTGTGTGTGTGTGTGTGTGTGTGTGTGTGTGAGAGAGAGAGAGAGAGAGAGAGAGAATCATTGTACAGGAATGGCATTCAGACTTACTAATTGCTTTTGAACACACACACAGACAAATAAAAGGCTAATTAGATTGCAGTAGCTCTTCTTTACATGATATTCATTTACTCATAAGACTTTAAGTAGGAAGGATTACGTCAGGGGCTGAATGTTGTACAAGAGATTTTGAAAATTTTAAGCTCTTGTTTTGGAGCAGTCGATGACTTTAGACTGGATTGGCCTTATTTTAGAAAAGTATTTCTAGATGTTTTCTGAGAGAAAGGGTATTTCCAGCTTGTGTTTTGGAAGCAGACAGCAGTCACATTCACTGGGCTTGTTTCACCCTCAGCTCTCAGGCAGTCGTACTTAGGGAGGTTATTTTTTTCTTGCTAACTTAGCTGGCTGATTCCATACCTCTGAAGATGCTGGATCTTCTACTTTTGTTTGCTGCCTGCCCTAGCTGTCAGTCTGATTTGTGGCTGTTCTGGTGCCCTTTCCAGCCTGGACAGCCCCCTTTCTGTTCTTGCTCTGGAGGTAACTCTGGGGACCCATCCAGGTGGCCCTCAGGTGCTTTCTTCAGTCTCTCAGGCTTTCATTTCCTCTTCTGCATCCAGTGAGTTTCCTGTCTGAGGGGTGGTGACTCACACCTGCTTTCTCCCCCCATGTATCCTCCCAAGGGTCCCCTCCTAGATAAGCCTCCCTCCCCTGCCATATCCACTGTCTTAGAAGGGTGGTCAGGATGGTGGGGATGCCCTATCATAGCACTGACCCCTCCTTCTCCTTCTCCCTCCTCCCATCTCTCCATACATAATGCATGCACTTCTTCAGGATACATGGATCTGGGTTCTTGGGCTACATACATCAGTAAACAGCAGACACAGATCCTGCCCTTGGAGGGGGGAGGCAAATAGCAATAAATAAATGGGGAACAAATAAGAACTAGGGAGAGGTAATGAGAAAAGAAGGCTTGTCTAGTGTCTGAGTAGAGTGAGGGCCAGAAGACGAGGACTTTGGTGGTTTTCCATCTCATCTGGAAGGGTGAAGGCTGGATCCTCACAGTGCAGCGTGAGTGAAGGATTCAGGCCTGGGCCCTGCTTGCAGGTGGCTTGAGTGTCTCCACTCAGAGAAAGAGGGACTGTGCAGATGAAGAACCTTGGCTCAAGGGTGCTGGCACCTCAGGATCTGACACCGTGATGTGCTGAGCTCAAGCTGTGGGACAAAACTACCTTGCTGGCTGACTGAATAGCTTAGTCATCCTTCCACTGACCTCTGCTAAGTCATTTCCTGGTCCTTTCATTATTATATAAAAACTGATGGAAGGCACTGGGGAAGGCGGCCAAACCCAGCATACTTATCACATACTTCTTTTTTTAAAAGATTTATTTTATTTATTTGTTTATACAAGCACTGGGTACAGTCAGAAGCGCGGGAGGGTGAGAGAATTCACCAGAGCCAGAGCGGGGAGCAGAACAGGCAGAAGGACCGAAGTACACTGCTGAGGGGAGTAGCGGGCGGCAGGAGAGGTCTGCGCGCCATGTGGGACCCTCCTTCGGCGGCCAGGGAGCAGCCAGGGATAGAACCGGTGCTGCAGAGGCTGCGGGCAGCTTCGCAACCCAGTGCTCAACCGCTGCGCCACTGGGGAGGCCCCTTATCACATACTTCTTGCCTGCACCATTAAATCTTTTCTAGAGTTGCTTCCTGGTAACTAGTTCACAGCTTGCCCACTATCCTTCATGGGATCCCGGCCATCACATAGACCCAGAGAATAGCTGTTTATGTCTTCTTGGACACGGAGGCAAGTTCCCCATCTGAATGCAGACAGCACAATCTCTCAGGACCTTCTCAGCATTCTGCCTAAACAGATTATTTATGTTCTGCAGGAGAATCATTTCCCAGTGTCTGCTTTCTCCTCATTCACATAAAACTGCACATTAAATTTCTGCTTGCACGTATATAAACCATATCTTTAGGAGTAGCCTGGCAAATCCTTGGCTGAAGATGAGTTTTGCCTCTTGAAAACAGGTGAGTGACATCTGTTTATTGTGTTATCAAAGTCGTGACACATGGTTGGTTGGCACCAGGTGCTTCCCAGAATACATCTAAATGGAATTGTAAACCTCTACTTGATGGGCAAAGTGACAGCCGAGTTCTTGTTAGCAAAGGCTTGATGACCAATATCTGCCTTCAAATTTAGGGGTGACAACAAGCAGTTGAAAACCCTGAGGTACTGGAGTCAGAAGCTGAGGTTTGGCCAAAGGTAATAATCTCACCAACTCCTACATGTTTTGTGAAAGCAAAGTGGATAGGGTGGGTGCAGGGAGGGCAGTAGTAATTTTAGGTTAATCTGACCTGTGATTAAGATTCCAAACTTCTACACTGTGGTTGGTGGCATGTTGGTAGGAATTTCTCTTTTTCTTCCTGCTGAGCCCTGTGATTTTGGCAGGAGAAATGTTTCATATGTTTGATTTGAACCCTTCTCCCCACTTGAGTCTTCCTGGGATTTTGTTCTGGCATTTCTTTTCTATTCATCTCCCCATTGGATCTCTGTAGGATGCTGTTGGGTTGCTGATAGTATTAATAGGGCTTGTATTGGTGTTTTTGTTAAAGCACCACCTAAAACTTCTTAGAAAATAATTGAAACTTCAAGACTAGCTTTCTGGTGTATTTTTACACTGCCCATCAGAGTGCGATGTGCTGGGGGAGCTGCTGGAAAACAGGCTGGAATGTGGCTTCCAGACTGTGGGTGCTTTGCTTGTCTTCAAAGTGGCTCCAGTGTGGGCACTGTCTATATGCTGCCACTTCACCACAGCCTGCTTGTGAAGACCTTATAAATGTATCTTTATTTTTTTACACATTTCCCACAGTAGTTTTCTTTTAAATTGCCTTATGATCAGGGAGATAGGAGCTCTAGAATGCCCTAGGGCAAAAGCACCAATAAAATGTCTCATTGTCACTTTCTCCCAACCTCAAGTAGTAGGGAGAGTGGTGCGTGAGCCCGGCAGCCACTCACAGCCACGCTCACACAGGGGAGCTGGATGTTGCATAGTGGGTAAGTGTGAGGCTCTGGCTAAAATGCAGACTACTTTGATTTTAATCCTCTTTCTCTCAGTGGTTCCACCTCATTCCTTGGGCTTTGCTGGGCTTCTATCTCCCCATAGGTAATTGGAGAAAATCACAGGGTTGACCTCACGATTGAATGCAGTAATGTTCTATAGATGTTAGCCCCTGCTAATAGTGCACCTCCAGGATTTCTGCACAGAACACCTGCTTCCTGCTGTGCCTACCTCTGTTGGCAGGAAGCCTCCCCTGGAGTGAGGTTACCTTGCAGCCAAGTCCCCAACTACCCACTGAGGTGCTGTGCTCGCTTTTCTTCTTGAAAGGTACTATGGCTCCATCTGGCCACTATGTAGGGCCACAAATGAGAGGACTGTCCAGGGCAGCTAAGGCTGAACATATGTCTCTCAGCAAACCCAGTTCCTCTGGGTTGCTTGACAGAGCTGGCCCTTCCAGTTATAGGCACCCAGCTTCCTATGCAAAGCTGGGAAGAGCAATTTCTTTTACCTCAAATACACATCAGTGACTGGGAATTACCTTCACACCCTCCCACCCTGCACAAGACAAGATGGGAAGGCTGAGCTTAATAGAGACTCAAACAACAAGATTTAAATAAATAAGCTGTATTATCTGTACAAAAAAAATATAAATACAGTTTTGTGTTTTAGAGGAGGAAATGCCTCCTTCCACATTATTCAGCAACCTTAATAATCTTGTGGGGCTGCTGAGTCACAATTCACAGAACAAACAGTAAATGTACATTCATCTCATGCAAGGAGCACGCTACTTCCCACCCCGATACTAGGTCCTCCAGCTCAAACTGTAGCAATCCAACAGGTGGGGGTGGTGGTGCTGGAGGACACCTGCTATTTAGAAGATGTGAATATTGGCCACTGGTTTTCAATGGTATTGAACTAGAAATAGTCAATCACATTAGTAGTAGTAGTAGTATGGAACCTATCTTCATTCCATGCATAACTATTGTGTCACAAATGAGGCCCCTTCTATTGCCCCATCATCCCATGTTAGCTTTTACAAAGTAATCTGTACACAGTGAATGGGTCCAGAGTTAAACACCAGGTTCTATAAAAAATAGGAACAAGACAATATCATTACTGAGTTTACAGGAGCACAACTGCAGGAAGTTAATAAAAAGTCCCCCAAATATTTTGTTTTCTGGATGACAATGTACAATTATTAATATTGCACTTTTTATACAAGAAATCCTAATAAATATTCACAAAAGATATACATAGAAAACATTCTCTTTTATTTTAAATAAACTTGACACTGAATTTTAGTAACATGATTTTTTAGAGCCCATTTTTTTTTTTTTTTTGTGGTAAGGAAGAAAGACCCCTCTCCCCCACCCCCGACTTTAGTCATCATAGCTCACCTGAGGAGGACACAGCTAAATATTTTCTCTCTCCCCCCTTTTACTTCCAGGCTGGCTGAAAAATGCAGCCCTGATGTCAGTGGGCATTGGGTAAGTGGCATTTAACAAGAGTGTTTGTGAGGGGGACATTTGTTTATCTGAGGGGGTGCTGGCTGGCTGCCCCGCCCTTCTGTCCTGGCTACTACAAGTGGCCATTCACCGGGAAGTGGCCAACCTCGCTCCCCCAAAGCTGCTGCGCTGAATTAGCCACTTGCCAACACCGGTGTATATTCCTATAATAGCGTTTGTTGTGTGCAAGGAATGGGCTGAAAAACTTCGGAGGACTGTCATGGAAGCTTTAGTTATCCTTTGGCTTTGCCACCACACCCCTTGTGCACCCCAGTCTGCGGTATAAACAGGAGGGCAGTTCTCACTGTATGACAGGAGGGCTGCACCTGCCTGCTGTCGCGCCCCGAGTCCTGGAACGTGGTGGCCACTCTGACCCGATGCAGCAAAGTGATGCATTGTTTTTCACAATGTGACCCCCCGTTCCTTGTGCTGAAGTGGAGCAGCAAAGGTCATACAGGCAGATAACCCAGGTATTTATGCTATAAATGTCCCTGGCCCACATCAGCAGTTGGTTCTAGACCAGGGGACTCTTAATTTAGATAAAGAAGCCAGAGGTGGTCGGGCCCCACTGACTCCCTGGCTTTGCTGTGTGTACAGCTCACTGTGTGGGGACCCCCTGCACCCCGTGGAGGGCATGTACTTGTAGCACGGACACTTGGCACTCAGCCCGCCCCACTCACCTCCCCACTCCACCAAATCCTCAGGGTGCCCGGCTACTGCACTCCCACTGAGGAACTTGCACAGCTTTCTTTTTGCTTCTGTCTCCTTCCTTCCCTCCTATTCCATTATCTGCATCAGCGTGCACTTCAGGCCTACTTGGATGTCTCCTCCTTTATCCCTCTTTGTCTGCTTTGTGTCCTTGTCCTTTGCCCGTCCCCAGAAGAGCTGAGTTCTGCCTCAGCTTCAGCTTTTCCCCCTGGTCCTTCCCACACTGAGGGGCAGAGGAGGAGGCACACGCCTGCCTCAGCTGTGCCCTGCCAGGAGCGACCCGGTGGTGGTTGGCCAAAGTCTGCACTGATGCTTTACCATCCCTGCAGCGCCCCTGCCCTCCGGTCTCTCATCTGCTGTTAGCACTGGCTCCCTCCTATCCCGAGGCCCGTGACCCTCCTCCTAGGTCTCTGCAGGACCCCGGTTTGGGAGGGAGCCCGCTGTCTCTGACTCAAACTGCTCTGCAACCTCCTTTAGACCTCTGTCCTGTCCCGTCCCAACACTGTCCTCCAGCTAACTGAAAAAGACATGCTGAGGTCCTCAAGACTGGGGGAGGGGATAAAAAGGGGGGGGAATGGGATGAAGGTGTGTTTTGGGGGTGGGGGGGAGGGGGAAATAAATAAATAAAACGAAGAAAGCTTAAGTTCTGTCCAAGGTGGTTGTGTGAGTCCTCGGTGTGGCCAGGACAGAGCGCTTCCCCGGGCCTGTCTTCACGCTTTGCCACACGTTCCACAGCAGCGAGATTTGAACTGGCTGAGCTGGCAGAGTTTCAGCTGCTTCACCTTCTCGCAGTACCTGGTGGTGTCTCTGCACTCCACTGGGGAAGGAGAGGGATGAGGACAGGACATGTGAAACAGGTAATAGCTGTGGCTCCTCACTGCTTCCTGGGGCCTGTCTGTCGGACACTGACCATCGCTAGAGGTCAGCGGGCTTAGCCAGCCTGTGGGGTTAGCCTTGCTTGGGCAGAGCTTAGCCACTTCCCCCAGGCTGCCCACAGTGGGATCCACCAGCCTGTAGCTAGTGGCTGAATGATTGGCTGGCCCTGGGCCCACCCTTGCTGCCTTTCTGGTCGGTTGCTTCCTCCCTGATGCTACTTATCTTTTGCCTCTGTTGGGACCACTTCAGCCCTTAGGAAGGCTTGTCTCACTCCATGGTGACTTTTTTCCCCCTTTAATTTTGAGGAGACACCCAAGACTCACAGGACACCACCATGTGGCCCTGCTGACAGGCATCAAATTTATATCTACAGACCATGATTGCTGAGGAAGGCTGGCAGCTGTACAGAAGGAATGGGTTGGCCGCCTGTCCCTGGGAGTTCGTGGTAAGAGCCAAGCCTACCCACAGCTTATTGGGGGGCTTCTAGCCAATACCTTTCTGTTGTGTGAAGTCACCCGCTTTGTGGTACTAATATACAACCCAAGATAGTGGTGGAGGGTCAGGTAAGGCCTGGTGGGCACAGGGGAGATTTTGGATTAGACCCTAAGCACAACTGGGCACCGTGGCAGTGAGGGTGTTAAGCAGAAAGGACCATGATGACAACATGCAGCCCGGGGACCCCAAGCATTCGACTCCACAGAGATAGTCTCCTTCCTGTTCCAGGACCCACACCACTGTTCCAGGACCACAGCCTTCCTGCTCAGCACTCACACGGATTGCCAGGTACCCCAAAGGCCCCATATTCTTAGCCTTCACCCACACCCCTGCAGGGAACGAGCAGAACCCAGTGCTGATATGCATCAGCACCTTAAACGCTGCCTTGGACGTACAAGTCTACCTTCTGGAAATACATTTCCAAATATTTGCCTATCAAGTAACTAACAAAAGTTCAGTCCACCATCTGAGCTCTGGTAAAGACATCTGCATAAGATTAATGGACTTGAGCTTGAGAAACAGGGGGTAAAGTGTAGGGCTGCACAGGGGAGGTTCTCGCCCACTCCCCCCAAAGCTTGCTGTCTCTCCCTTCTTGGAAGGAAGCTCCCTTTCATAATCCCTGCAGGGGCTCCAGGGCTTTGGGCTGGGTCCCACTCAGCAGGCCTGTGCTATGCAGCCCTGAGACCCAGCCTCTGTGCACTCACCCACGGCTTCCCAAAAAGGTCTGTACAAAGAACCGAGGATCCGGCCAGGGGGTGCCAAGCAGGCAAGAAAACCAGAGAAGCCAGGAGCTGCTGCAGGGGTTAAGGTATGCTGTGGGCTGTTGGTGGTTGGGAGGGAGTCTGGGTGGGCCACCCCCTCCATGGTAGTTTAGCAAGCAAGTCCCCTCGAAATGGCTCCCAGGAGACCTAACTTCTCCCCTTTGAAGTACCTGCAAGGAAGGCCCAGAGACCTGAGACTTCTTTCCCTGCAAACTTTTGTTTTCTTGTATTCTCCACCTGAGCCTCTCTCTACTCCTTCCACTGTTGTGCCTTAGCAGAACATTGCAGAGTTGTAGTTCAGCATTGGCACAGATTAGATGGCTGTGAACATCTCTGATTAATAGAGTATCTGAACTACCCTCACTGAACACTGAGTGGGGTGAGCTCCTGACAGAGATGGATGAGCACCTCACAAGAGAGTAAGGACACCCCCCCTCCCCCTTGCAGAGAAAGCAATGGCTGTTACGGAGCAGCACTGGGAATCTGATGCTCAGTAAGGCCCTAATGGGGCAAAGCTTCACGGCAGCATTTCTTGATTTTCTCATTCTTTGTGGTCCTCCCTGTAGGAAAGCACCTCCAATTTACTTGGGGTCCAGAAGAAGAACAAATAGAGCCCCACTCACTGGGATGTAAATGCTGGTGATGGATGGAGGAAGACACAGAATTGAGGTTGTGAATGAGTATCAAGTCCCGAGGGCATGAGCTCCTGCAGTTCTGGTGAGTGCCTGTGGGGCTGGGAGGGAGGGGGCCAGCAGGGCCCTTAGAAGCCAGCAGTGGTGGGTGTGGGGCCGCCTGGGTGGAGGTGCTCTGTGTGCTTCTTCACTGTGAGCAGTGTTTTTTCTAGTAAGCTGGCCCTCAGGAATCCATGTTTAGTTGTCCCCTTGGGCACCAGCAAACTGCTGGACTGATCTAGCTATCTTTTGTGGCCTAGGCATGAGTATACAAATTAGTGCACACATGCATGCACCCCTCTGAAAAAACCCAACTCACAATCCTTGGGAAACCTGACCCAGTGCTTTCTGCTCAGGCTGGGTCTCAGGGACTGCTCTCAGCACCCGATGCCCCTTGGGAAATTTACAGAAGGTTCTTTGGGGTTGGAACGTACTGTTTTCACATGGAGTGATGTTGCAGCGCTGCCAGTTGGCGGGCCGGGGTCCCCAGGAGCACAAGTGCTCGGGCACGGCCTTGTTGGTACGGGCGTGCACGCACTCCACACGCCGGGATTGGAAGCCGTAGTTGCCACAGGTTGCTGTACACAGGGTCCACAGACTCACCCTCCAATGTACGCTGCAGGCCTCTGACCAGCAGTTCTGGGTACTCACAGGCCTGTAAGGAAAGAGTGGCAGGGTTAGGGTCTGCCTCTATTGGGGAAGGTCAGGGAGGCAGATGTGAAATAAGGCTGCAAGTCCAAGATGAGTAGCTGTTACTGAAGAGCTATGTGAACTCAGAAGGCCACTTCCTCTAACCGGGTCGCTTTTTTTTTTTTTTTTTTTTCTTTACAGTGTCAATGTCACTGCGTTACCTGAGAATGAGCTCTACCAAACAGAGCCTGGAGCTGGTCGTAGGGATTGGGGCCTTTGGAGGGAGCAGTGAACCCTTAGCCCAGGGGGACATCAACAGGAGGTATGATAGGGCTGGAGAGGAATAACAGGTTGAGGCCCATGGACAAGGGGTCTTATCTCAGCATATTTCTAGAGGGAGGTATATGGCTGGTGGGGCCCTTGAGGGGTTGTGGCCATTATGGAGACCACACCTCCTGCCTATCAGGGGCTCATTCAAGTCTCTTATGGCATCAGGTGTGGTGCTCCCTCACAGGAACAGCACCTTTTTGCACCTTTCATCCCCAGTACAGACAAGGCCAACTTGACCCATTTGGCAAGCACAAAGCCACTGGGAGTCTGGGAGGCTGGTGACCTTGGGAAAATGGAGGTGGAAGGGTTGGTTGGTGGAGGACATTTACTTTCTGTGCTGCTGACACAGGATCTGGGGACAGGAGCCCATGGCTTTCTCTTACCTCGGAAGGGCACTGCACTGCTCTGACGGTAAGGTGATGCCATCCCGTGTCTGGCAGAAGACTTGTCTGTGCTGCACAGCTAGGCGAGGCCCGATGCATGGGCCATTGCACTGGGAAAGAGAAAAAGGTGGCACACGTGAGGGGAGGCTGCATGGCACGCAGGATGCTGTACCTTGTTTGAGGCCCTCAGCTCACCCACTTTGCTCCTCTTTGGGCCAACTAAAGGTCATTCACTAGCATGCTTTCCTGCCTTTGTGTCACAGTTGATGGCTAGCTCTCCTGTGGTCTGAGAACCGAACATTCTACTAGCAAATGGCTAATGGTGGCATTCATCAATTAGGGGTTGCCAACCCCTTCCCAGATTTACTACAGGAAAGGTGTTTTTGGCAAAATGTGCTGCTAAACTTTAGAGCTAAAGACCTCTAAGTAAGTCTCATTTCATCCAAGTAACTGAGACCATCATTTCTTTCCTTTCTTTGGCTTCATTTTCCCCAGGTTAAACCCAGGATGGTTGAATAAAACTAGACATAGGTATGTATAGGGTGTCCCCGCTCATATTCTTTAGCTATGTTCTCCTGGAGATTAAGCTTTCCCCATGGCAGAACCAGAAAAAATAAGTTCTATCAGAAGAAATACACTTAACAACAATGGTGTCTGTAAAATACAAAAGCAGCAGGCCCTGAGTCAAGAGTAAGAGGACAAACATTCCTTGAAGGCTCTTATCTTGGGGGGCAGGGATAGAGAGGGTCTTTGGACTCCTAGGGTCCACAGTGGGCCATTAACCTTTAAAATTATAAGCAGGAATGTTGTGCTCATTGACATTTTTTTCTAGCAAGAAGCTCCAGCTTTCAGAAGATGCTCAAAGGACCTCAAAGATTAAGAACTACCCAAGGAGAAGGAGTTAAGGTAAAAGTAGCCCACTTAAATCAGGCAACTATGCCTAAAGTCTGTGATGGCTCCTTCTGCTATGGTCTAGTAAATCAAAGTCTTGTCAACCTCATATTTTGACCAAGTGATGCCGTCTAAAGATGTGAACTTGGAAGATAGGGCCAGGCTCTGAAAGGTCCAGTGTGACACTGTTGTTCACAAAGACAGAGGTGGGGAAAATGCCCCCTGACTTCAACAAGTGGGAGTTCTTTTTTAAATTTGTAATAAAATATACATAACACTTTACTATATCAAGTGTAGGATCCAGTGGCATTGTTCTCCTCAAACTTTGGAGGTTTTCACCCTTATTTCTTCTTCTAATTTTTCTCTACAATTCTTCTGTTTCATTCTTGAAACTTGGTTAAATGTTATATTTTCAGGTTTTCTGTTTTGCCTGCTTAAATCTGTTCTTGAACTCCTCTCAATTCAAGATACGTATTTCTCAGCTCCTACATTTCTGCTTGGCTTATTTCTATCACATTTTACTCACATTGTTTAGTTATTTATCCATGTTTTCCTTGAACTCTTTGAGCATATTTAAGACAGTTGTTTTAAAGCTTATTCTTTAAAACATGTCTGAGGTTGTATTTCTTCAGGGATGATCTTTGCCATTGTTTTTTAAAAAATTAGGTATTTAAGGAAACAGACATCCCTCACAGTCTCCTGTATATCATTTCTATGCCTGGGCATGCTTTGAATCTAGGGATCAGCCTGAGGTGAAAGCTTGAAGGTTTCTCAGATCTTTTATAAATGTCTTGTCTCAGCATCTGACTTTCTCAATTCCCCTATCCACTTGGCACATGTGAATGTCTTCTGTTCTGAGAGGGGATCACCCAAGGTTACCCTCAGGACCTTCACCGGTCTATTGTATGTCTCCATCTGTAATCTCTTGCCTGCAGGTTTGTACTTCCCTTGTAGCTTTCACATGTCATGGTTGCTGCTTTTCCATATTTGATATCTAAAATAGGCAAGAAGAGCATTTCTTCAGGTAGTCCCCTGATAGGTTAGAACACTGCTAAAAGGGTCATCTTTTCTCTCAACAGATTTATGGAAGGCAATGGGCTACCCTCACTTTCAGACCAAGACAGCGCCATGCTGGATCGGGCGGTAGGGAACTGTTTTGATGTTGGCTTTTTTCCTTGGCTGCTATAGACATCTGACTGTTTTTCAGAGCTCTTATAAGTCAGCCAGTTTCTGGTTGTGTTTTCATGTTTCTATAGTAGAATAAGGACCTAGAGTTTCTAGTCTGACATTTTGCTCTTGACAAGAAGTGAGAATTCTTGAAGGAATAATGTGTCTCCAGCAGCTCTATCTTCTCAAATCTCATTTGTTACTGTCTATTGCTTGTTTGGTTTCAGTGCCAATTATCATACTGAAACTGCTCTTCACAGGGAGAGTGATTGGTTAGTTCCATGGCCAATGCTTACTCTATTTTTTTTTATTTAATGCCCTTGACTCTTTCTTCTGGAATGACTTTTCTGTGAATATACTTTCTCTATTTTTTCTTACTCATGACATTATCTTCTCTTTCCTCTTTACCACAATTTAATTAGTGTTCCCCAGGGCTCTGCCCTGTACCTTTTCCTCATGTCAAGCTTTTCCTCCCCTAGGGTGACATTACTCATGACTCTTAGCCACCACTTGCCTACTGAGGATTATCAAATTGATAACATCTAGCCAGTTTTCTTTCAGATCTATATATCCAACTTCTGTCTACCTCACAAACACATCATACTAAAGATCTTCCAAACAATTTCCTATTGTCCTGATTCACCCTGATTGTTTTCTGCATTTCTATCCAGTCATTCAATCCATAAACCTAAGACATGTTAGCTTCCTGATAGCCAGAGGGTCACTGGAGCCATATGAATCACATCTTTATAATGATATCAATGTCACCCTATTTATTTCCATTGTCCAGTGCCTTCATTCTAATCAGTATAATTTATCACCTGGACTGTTCCTCTTTGTCCAGTCCTGGACAAAATAGAGTCCCAAATTCACTTAACTATACTGCTGACAGAATAATCTGATCATGACACTCCTGCTTAACAAACTTTCGGTGCTCCTACCCACCTGTCACAACTAACGTGAGATTCATAATATTAGCCACACACCTTATTCAACATACAATCCTCCTCATGATCTCACACCTGTTTTCCAGTTCACATTTCTATTTACCTTTCCTGAAAACATTCTGGGGCTCCTTTTGCCTTCATTTCTTCACATATATTTTTATGGAACACATCCCCCATCCAAGACAGATGCCTCATAAATGTATTTTGGCTTAAAAGAGGAAAGCTTAATTATTACATGAAGTCAGGTTGTTAGAACTGAGAAAGTGATTTTAGTTCTTAGACAATAATCATTATGTTTTTTGTAAATTTCAAAGAGGTAGGCAGATGGAGGAGTGGATATTTGCATAACACTGTTCCAAAAGGATTTCTTTGTCAGAAATCATTACCAATCTCACAGGAATGTGGATGTTCAGGGAGCATCTACAGATTGAAACGCATTTCAGTAATATCACCAGAAGAGCAATATGAACAGGATTGGGAGAGCAAGCAGTTCCCTATAGTTTGAGATTTTTAGAAAACTGAGCATGCAAAGTGCTATCCAGACCTGTCATATAAGAATTTGCATTTTTCATAAGATCTGCTGGTTATTCATCTTAAAGCTTGAATGACCTCACTAATATGGTAGAGAAATATCACTCACGTGTGCAGAGATCTGTTCCCAATGGTAATTTTTCACACTGCCAGGTCTTAAGGGCAATGCACTGAATGAGAGCTATCAGAAGTGGACTTTTCCAGGTAAAAGAAAAATGAGCTCATGTCTTTTTATGGAACACAAACATTATGTCAAAGGAAATTAGGGGTGGGGGGGTTGTAAGAGGTGCCAGAAATCGATCAATGAGTACTCATCGATCAGTTCTGTGCACCAGGGATACAAATGACTTAAGCACTGCAAGTGAACTCTGTGACTACATTTCTCCCAAGTGACATTTGTTCTTCACTACAGGTGGCCACAATATTTTTACTTAATAAGAAGTTTGGAGGATTATGAATGCAGCAATATGAAGACAGCTAGTTCTAGCACATTTTGAGTTGCTTAACTGTCCAATAACTTTCAGTCACATTAGTTCATGCAGTACTACAAAGAATTAAGAGCTCTGTGGTTGTTTTGGAGTTTCCCTGATATCCAAGCCTAATTGTATGGTCCACATATGGGTCAATTAGAAACTATTTCTGACCAATCAGAGTGGTAATCCTGTTAGTGCCAATTTCTAGCAAACCATAGCTGTTACTACATAGTTGGTGGGTACCAGTCGAGTATCAGCTCTAGCAGGTTTTGAATGCAAATTTTGGGAGAAAGAGTATAGATGACTATTATTGGCCACACTGGATTTTTTTGAATGCTGTCCTCCCCAAAACAATAGAAGGGGTGATCACATGAGTAGGACAATGGTTCTTTGCCTTACCTACCAACACTGGGGAAAACCTAGACTTCTAACTTGATCAAACTTGGTCAAGAAATGATGAGCTCCTGTCATGATCTCTGGTATTGTTAAAATTTGCTGTTCTCCATGGAGAATATTCAGTTTGTGCTGATCTTTTTTTTTTTAAAGATTTATTTTATTATACAAGAACTGGGGTAAAGGCCAGATTCGTAGGAGGATGAGAGGATTCTCCAGAGACAGAGCAGGGAACAGAACAGGCAGACTGACTGAAATACACTGCTGAGGGGAGCAGCAGGTGAAACAGGAGAGGTCTGCTGTGCCATGTGGGACCCGCGCTGCAGACACAGCGCAGCGCTCAACCACCTGCGACACCAGGGGAGGCCCCTGATCTTTCTTTTGAGTAAGTACTAAAACAAAATTTCCTCTCCAAATAGTCATTACAAATCTTCCTATTAAAGAGACAAGTACAAAATGGAATTATTTGTATCACCATGTTACCTGAGACTGAATACCTAAATTGATTAATTAGCATTGCCTCCTCTGCCAGGTGTGTACTCTTAAACTAGTCAATCTGGAATTACCTGTCAGCACTAGATTTATAATATCCCCTAAAAGGTGACCTTGCCACAAACCACCTAATCTCTCCTTGTCCCACACATTTTTGCCTATAAAAGCCCTTCAATTTGCACAGCTTTAGAGTTTAGCTATAAACTTTAGAGTTTAGTTTTCTATGTGGCTAGTTGAGATGCTGCCCTGTTAATGAATTGTTGAATAAAACTAAAAATCTTTAAAATATTCTCACTTGAACTTTTCCAACAGATTTGGTGGTAGCAATGGATCTGAAGAAACTTCTCACAGCATTGGGGACTAGAGGAAACACTGTCATTGTTCTTTCCAACCCTTTGGGTTTCCCACCTTGTTATTTCTAGAAGATGTGGGTAAGTTCCTTTTCATTCTGAATTGAAGTACCATTGCATTATTGTAAATCAGGATCTATAAATACTGCCTCAAGTTCACCACTAAAAGTCAAATTCTGCCCTTCAGTATACAATTGAAAACTTTTACTTAATTCCTTTTTCCTTTTGGGTAACCACTGATTTATAATCTGGTCTAATAGTCTAAAATTATTCCATTTTGTCTTTAATTTTCTCACTCACTTATTTCACTAATCATAATAACCGCTAGTTCATCCATGTTGTAAATAGGATTTAATCCTTTTTATAGCTGAAGAGTATTTCACTGTGTATATATACAACCACCTTTTATCCAGTCATTTGTTGATGGATACTTCGGTTGTTTCCAACTCTCGACTGTCATAATGCTGCAGTGAACAGAGTGGGGCATATACCTTTTTTTTGAATGGGTTTTTTTTTTTTTTTTTTTGGTAAATACCCAGAGTAGATAACTGGATCAATTGGAATTTCTAACATTTTAAGAAATGTCTATCTTGCTTTCCAAAGTGGATGCACCAATTTAACTTCCCACCAACAGCATACTAGTACTAAGGTTACCTTCTATCCACATTCTCTCCAACACTTGTTTTTTGGATAGTTGTGAGGTGTTTCATCATCATTGTTTTGGTTTCCATTTTCATAATAATAAAAGATGATAAATATCTTTTCATGTGCTTGTAGGTCATCTGTATGACTTCTTTGGAGAAGTGTTTTTTTTAGATCCTCTGTTCATTTTTAAATAGGGTTGTTTAGTTTTGACTTCTTTATATATTTGGGTATCAAGCCTTTTTCTCTTACCTTTGCAGTCTAATCACCATAAGCACCTCTGAGGTTGATGTTAAAGAGTGTGATGCCTATGTTTTCTTGTCTGCATCTTTAATCCATTTTTAATAAATTTTTTTGAATGGTGTGATAAAACCTACTTTCATGTGATTATCCAGTTTTCCCACACTATTTATTGAAGACACTCTCCTGCTTCATTATAAGTTCTTGGCTCCTTTTTTGTGAATTAAATGTTCATGTTTGTAGTTTTATTTGTGGGCTCTAACTTCTATCCCCCTGATCTGTTTGCTTTGTAGTATATTGTGACATCAGGGGGTGTGATAACCCCATTTTTGTTTTTCACAGGAGTGCTTTTGTAGCTCCAAGTACATTTCATGCTTTTTTGGGGGTTCTATTTCTGTTAAAAATACTGCTGGGATTGAACTGAATTTCTATGTTCCTTTAGGTAACACAGCTATTTTTTAACAAAGTTGCCTCTTCCAGTCCATGAGCGTGGAATGCCTTTCTAGTTCCATGAACAATGTTGTACAGGTTTCAGTGTACAAATCTTTTGCCTGTTTGGTTAAATTTATTCCGTGATACATAATTCTTTTTGATATGATTGAAAATGGGATTATTTCCTGATTTCTCTTTCAGCTAGATCATTTTTAAAGTGATAAGCGATAAAATTAACATGCAGAAATCTGTTGTTTCTATAAAAGGTATTAGAATAAACATAGTCTTTGGGATTTTCCATGTATATTATTGGATCATCTGCAAATAGTGATGGTTTTATTCTTTCCTTTCCAATTTGGATAACTGTGATGTCCTTTTTTTTTTGGGTCTAATTTCTCTTTTTAGGACTTCCAACAAAATTTTGAGTAGTATTGGTGAGAGTGAATATCCTGATCTGTACTAGAGAAAAAAAAATTGTTTCTTGCTAAGATCAGGTACAAGACAAGTCACTTTTACCATTACTACCTAACATAGTATTGGAAGTCCTCCGTAGAGCAACTAGGCAAGAGAAAGGTATGGAAGGAAGACATAAAACTAGCACTATTTCCAGGTAACATGATAATATATGTAAAAAACCCTAAGGACTCCATTAAAAATAACTTAGAAACAAATTATTACAGTAAAGTGGCAAGCTACAAAATAGTTACTATATGCAAATAAAATAAGGAGAAAGAAACCAATCCCATTTCCTATTGTATCAAAAGGTTTAAATACCTAGGAGTAAAACTAACAGAAGAGGTGAAGGGCATATACAGTGAACACTGTAAGACATCGTTAAAATAGAAAATGATAAATATATTCCCTGCTCATGAACTGGGAGTATCAACATTGTTGAAAATGGCCATTTTATTGAAATCAATATACCTATACAATGCAATCCTGACAAAAAGAGGAGAGGCATCACATTCCAAGACTTCACATTATACTATGACAGTATACACACAGGCTAATGGAATAGAATTAAGAGCCCAGAAATAAGCCTACACTTAGATTACCTGTATAGGTAAGACAAAGGAGCCAAGAGTCTATGAAGAATGGTTCTATGATGAAGGGTTCTTAAACAAATGGTGTTGAAAAAACTGAACAGTTACATGAAATTAACCTATACTATTCTCACACCCTACATAAAATGAAACTATTCAACACATAGAAGTAAACAAAGGCAATATACCTCATGGTATTGCTAAAGGGATGTCACTGGGGGCTCGACTCCAATAGCAAAAATAAACATGGGGACTACATCAAACTAAAAAGCTTCTGCACTGCAAAGAAACTATCTTTAAAAGATCTACAAAGAACTCTTACTAGACACTTCTCCAAAGAAGCCATACAGATACCCAACAGACACATGAAAAAAATGTTTTGCCTCACTTAACAGGGAAATGCAAATGAAAACCACAATGTTATACTTACCTTACACCTGAGAATGGCCTACATCAAAAAGAACAGAAACAATAAGTATAGTGAGGGTGTAGAGAAAAAGAAACCCTTGTATACTGGTGGTAGGAATGTAGATTGGTCCAGTCCCTATGGAAAGCAGTGTGGCAGTTTCTCAACATAGTAAGAATTGATTTACCATATGATTCAGCAATTCCCATTTCTAGATGTTTACATGAAAAATGCAAAAACACAAATTCAAAGGGATATATGCACACCTGTGTTCATTGCAGCACTTTTACAATAGCCAAGTTATGGAAATAGGCTAAGTGCCCAACAACAGATGAGTGGCTATGTGTATATATGTTATTTATATTATACTTCTTAATCCTATATATATATATATATGCACACAGTGGAATTCTATGTAGCTATAAAAAATGAATTTTTACCATTTGCAACAATACGGATGGAACTGGAGGAATTATGCTAAGATACACCAAAAGGAGAAAGATCAGATGGTTTCACTGATATGTGGAATATAGAAAGACAAAATCAAACCCAAAACAAATTTAGAAATTTGACTATAAAATTGAGGTTACCAGAGGGAAAGAGGGAGGAAGCCTATGGGTATCTTGTGCTAACACACATCTGTGGTGGAATGAACCTATATTATCAATCATACAGTATTGTAAACCAATCTTACCTCAATAAAAAAGTTTTTAAAAAAGTGAATGCAAAGAAAGTCACAATTTATGAGTGCCACACAGAGGTAAGGTATCAACAGAATAATGTAAGAACTTCAGAAAGTCAGGGAATGACACTAGTACCTTGAGTTTTAATCACATCCTTAGTTAAGGTTAATGTGTGATCAAAAAGGTGGGGGGAATGGTTAGTAAAGACAATAGGGTTAAAATGGAGTCAAGTGTGTTAAGCCCCCCATTGCCAGCATAGACTAAATACAAACCTAACTTGTTTTAGGCCCTCTCAGGAACATAATCTCAGTCAATCTGGAATTACCTGTTCAGCACTAGACCCCAGCCATCCCCTCAAAGGAGATCTTGCCACAAGCTACCTGCCACCCTTTTCTACCTATGAAAGCTTTTCGTTTTCTATATATGTTACCAGATTCACAAGTTGTTGAGCTTTAGGATCTTCACAATTTATTCAACTGGCTTTTGTTTTTATTTTTATACAAGAACTGGGGTATAGGCCAGAGGCACGAGAGGGTGAGAGAATTAACCAGAGACAGAGCTGGGAATAGAATAAGCAGAATGACAAAATACACTGCTGTCTGAGGTGAGCAGCGGGTGTGATAGGAGAGGCTGCCTCACCAGGTGGGAATCTCCCTGGCCAGCCAGGAATCGAACCCATGCTGCAGAGTCTGTGGACAGCTTCACAGTGCTGTACTACTGTGAGGGGAGGCCCGCTTTTGATTTTTAATACTCTATCCAGAAGAAGCCCCATCCTTACTGGGCTCAGATGAACCACTGTTTCTGTTGTCCATTAAGCTAATCCGGGCCTCTTTTGGTTAATGTTGGGCAGAGAATTGAGGAAGGGGATGGTGGTTTCTAATGGAAACCACTTCATCTGGGAAGTTTCTAAAAGTTGCCCTATGCCTGCATCCAACCTCCACTGACACCAACAACTGATGAGGGTGTAGCCTTTCATTGATCTTTTAAAGAAGTTCCTCTGGTAACTAACTGTGCAACCCAGCTGAGAACCTGTGACCCAGAAAAGCACTGCAGTACCAGGTGGATGTCGCCAGAACTTTAAATCATCAGCCCCAGCACTGCCAGTGAGAGGATGATCTTACAGAAACTGAGTCTAAGGGAGCTCTTAGAGGGTCAGATGATGATCTGAGAACAGGAAAACCTCAAGGTGGAGAGAATTCAAGAGGAAAAGTGCAAGTATCAGAGAAGGGTTAGGGTGAGAAAATTACGAAAAGCTCCGGGCTTTAGGAAGGATACTAGGTAGGTTTGTGGATTGACAGGTAGGAATGTGAATGTTTGGTCATCACAAAGGATGTGGCAAAGCTGGCATTTTTACCTCCTACTGAGGCAGCATCTACACCTTTACATTTACCTTTCAAATAAAACCCTCTCTGGCCTTACCTGGCCCCAGCTGGAGAAGGCCCACTCCACACACAGCTGTTGGTTACAGGCTTGGGTGTCCACTGGCCGTTTGGCGAGCTGGGTGCACATATCATTGGACACAGGGGTGGAGATCCCCGAGGCTTTCAGCTTCTGGCAGGTCACCCGGCGGGTCTGGACGCCTCCTCCACAGCTCCGGGTACAGGCGGACCAGGAGGTCACCATCCACCTGGAAGAAAGGAAGAGGAGTCAGGCCTTAGGGAAAGGCATGATGCCACACCCTTCCAGAAAGAACCCCAAATACTCCCCTTTTCACAGTATCTACTTGGAGTAGTAAGCTGAAAATGCCCTCCCCAAAGATACCTGTCAAATTTCTGCAACCTGTGAAATGTTACCTTATTTGAAAAAAGTCTTTGCAGATATAATTAAGATTTTGAGATGCTGTTTTCCCAGATTATCTGGCTAGACCCTAAATGCTGTCACCAGTGTCCTTTTAAGGTGGGGGGAGACTGGATGCAGACACAGAAGAGGAGGAGACAGTCTGGCCACCAAAACAGATATTGGAGTGATGTGGCCAAGTCTGGAGCCACCACAAGCTACAAGGGTTGAGGAGCCAGCCTCCCCTGGAGCCTTCCGTGGCGGGTACAGCCCTGCTGATTTTGGACTTCTGACCTCTAAAACTGTGAGAGAATAAATTTTTGTTGTTTTAAGTCACCCTGTTTGTGTAACTTCTTATAGTCATCACAGGAAATGAATCCCTTTGGGAAAATGACTAAAAAAGGTTTCTTCTGAAAGAATGATCTGAAGATTGTAGCCTCAGCTTAACACTGCCCTCAGCTTAACTGTGAGCTTGCAGATGCAACCTGTGGGGAGACAGTCCTTTAGCTACTTATTCTGTACTGTGGTTTTTGTATTTCCAAAAGGTGCCCAGAGAAAGGACCATTTTCTAGGGAAGTCAGACCCAAACGTGTGTCACCTCCTAACCCAGGAGGCAATCTGGGTCTCACTGAAGCCAAAGCATTTCGTCTGCTAGCGCGCACTGGACTTCTAACCTGTATCTCCCTCTATAACATGCAAAACACCTTCCAGCGCTAGAGATTGAATTCCCACTGCTGTGGGTCACAATCCACAAGTCTTACAACTTTTAGAGGGTTGCATATGTGGTAGAAAGTAGTTCTCAGAATATTAGTTTCCAACTACAATTTGGATCCTCAGAAGCAAGTCTGACCAAGACAGTGACAATAACTTGTCTCACAAAGTCAAGCCCATAACCTGAGAAACACTCTGAAATCCTTGTCCCTATACAAACACATAGGGATTCTCTTTATATGTTTGCACCCTAGGATGATTCTCAAAGAGGACAGACACAGGAAGGGAGCACAGCTTGGGGAAAAACAGCAAGAAAAGACTTGATGATTTTCAGACATGTCATTCAAAACCCTTGATTTCACTGCCCGAGAAGGTTTTATCTAAAAGAAATGGTGAAAGATCTAAGTAGGTCAAAGCAGGACTTGCCAGCACATATAAAAAGATGACCTGGGAGATACTAGTTTATATGAAAGAAGGGTGCCAAAGTGCCCAAAAGCCTGACAGGGAAACTAGTCAGTGATGACCCTGTGGCCACTTCTAGTTCAGTGGTGCCTCATCTGGCCCTTAGGAGAGCAAGTGTAGGGACAGGGAGCAAACTTCTTCCCCATCTGGATCTGTGACTTATTTAGTTTGGTGGAACTTCCTGCTCCATTTGCCCTGGAGAGAGAGGACTGTGCGCAGATTTCCAACCCACAGGAGCAGAGCCACTTAGGAAGCAGGCACAAGGTGTGTTAAAGCTCCTGGGAGCACTGAAACCTAAGCACATGCAGCCATTATTTCATTTGCAGACATAAATGAGGCTGATTGACTCCGACCATCACTACAGCAAATCAAAAAGTGGCTGGCATTTCCAAGACCTCTTCTTCATTTCACAGTTTGGCAAGGGCAGTCTTCCAGCCTCTCATATCCCTGGTGAATGTCAGACCTGCATTTCAATCAACTTTTATTTCCAAATATACATTTCAGCAATTTTTCAGGAGCTGGGGTGGGGGTTTGAGAAAGGAGAGGTCTGGGCTATGTTACAGTTCAGGAAGGGTATTAAAGGACATTAATCATTCCCGTGGAAACCTTCCCGTCAGCAAGTTAAACTGCTGATATTAATGAGCATGTTTCATATTTCATTGAGTCTCTCCTGGTTTCAGCTGCTCCTTATGAGTCAGCTGGCAAAACACAAAGTGGTTGCCTAAATAGTATGTGAAAGTCCCACAGATAAGTAGTAAAGGGGCATTTCAGGGTCCAGCCAAGTCCCTGCAGGCTCAGGGCGCCATGCTGGTACCAAATCTAAGCCCATCCATTATCCCTTCAGCTTCTGTCTGAAGATCGGGGTGGGGGTGCCCAGCAGGACTCACAGATTCTCAAAGCTCAAGGACAATGTAAGAGGCAGAAACTGTGGGTGTCATTCTGAACTAGGAAAGAGATCCAAATGCAGAGAATATATATTCAATGTTGAGGGAACTATAGAAAATGAAGATTTCAACTTTAGAAGGATGAACCCCTTTGTAGAAAACAGAAGGATAAGATTGCCTCAACTAAATGAGTCCTGATTAGGAGAGGTCTTTCAGAAGAAAGAGGAGGGATTGGGGTAGAGGACAGTAATCCCTATCCCATCAACATTTCAATGGCAACACATTTCTTTTCTTACGAACTAGAGAGTCAGCTAATTATTGCAGGATGGGAGCGATCTCTTTCCAGGGCTTGGCTGCTCCTGCTCTCCAAATGACTTTGAGGCACTGGGGCAGCCCTTAGATGGCTGAGTGGTGAGCAAACAGTTGAGGGAGGAGACTCATTCTGAGGGATATTTTCTGCTTGGTGGAAGGGCCAGAAAATTTTGTGCCTACAGGAAAGGACAGCCCTGATAGCAGACCCCCTCCTCTGCACCCAGCCTTCCCCTTACAGTGCTAGACAAAGGCAAGGTCCAGCCTTCCATGTGGGGAGGCCTGAGTCATCATCTGTCACACTTACCTGGCAGGGCAGTCTCTCCGGTTGCAGGCGATGGGCTGCACAGCAGGACGCACCTTCCCTGCACAGTGATCTGGGTTGACTTCGGTGCCATTCAGTAGACACCTGAGGCGGGGCTGTTGAACACCCCTGTTACCACAGGAGGCTGAGCAGGTTGCCAGTCTGTCCACAGACCACCAGTAATCTGTCACAGGAGGAGGATCAGAGGTGAAATTGGGGGAACAGCATGTCCTGCATGAACTCCACCCCCTGTTGTTTTATGGACTCTGCCTTCATGCCAAGGAGATCCCAGGTGCTGAGGACTACCACCCCCATAATGCCATGGGTTTGCCATGATGCTTGACTTCTTCAAAGGGGGATTACTGGGAACTAAGGGTGGAGTCAAGCAGCCATGCTTGGTATGTGGGCCTGCAGGGTGTTCCTTGGTTTTATCTGCCTTCAGTGTGCACTGGGGGTGTGGGGTAGGAATGGGGTCCTAGCTTAGACAGTGTTACTGATAGGGCCTATTGAGCAATTAATCTATTTCTCTTTTTGAGCCGCTCTATTTTTATTTCCCTTGTAAATAAACCTTTTATTAACATTTCTCTGTGTGCCTGCCCTTAGGTCTTGTTCTGAGTTTTTTTAAGCACATAGGTGAGGATTCATACCCAGGCCATTCCATTTCCCTTTGGGGTTGCCCTGAAATAAAAGGATGATAATCTTTATTCCCTCTGAGCTAGGCAGTGTGGAGTGAGGAGGAGACTAGGAAGTGTGGGCAGGAGGGTGACGGTAGGAACTAGGAGCTGTTATGCTCCTTGGTGGGTGCTAACCCCAATCTATCTAAACATGTGACATGGTCTCCAGCACCCTCAGTTGGCTCATCTATAAAATGAATACATTGGCCTTCACCTCATCAAATGTGAGGACCGGATATAATGAAAGTAGAGCTCCTAGCCCACTGCCTGGCACACAGAGATACTTAATCAGTGGCTATAACTCTTGTTATTTTTAATATACTTTCTAATTTTTTTCTATTGGTTCACCAGAAAGTGATTTTTTCCACAGAGATATAAAAATATCAGATACTTTATAATCAGATTTAAAAGTACAGATCAAGTCAGACTTTCTGAATGTTACAGAAACAGCCTATCTGGAGAGTACTCATTTATGTCATAAACGATGTCAGTTAGAAAGGGAATTTCTTCTGATTTTCTCTTTGGGGTCTGGGACTCACTGGTATGAAAGCTGTTAAAAATAACTGTGGGCTGGTAAATTTTGAGTGTTTATTTGCAAGGTTGCCTATTACAAATCTTGTAGATAGGTACTGGTTTCTAGTTTTCCACAGAGAATGGTTGGCAGGCAAGAAAATGGAATATTTACTTTCCTGTCTGGAAAGCCAAATGGCAGGGGAAGATAATGAAGGGAAAACCCACGTGCTCAAACAAATCTCCTTGCTTATGCGTTATATTGCCACCAAAGCTTGTCCTTCCCACAGAATTCTCTACTTTAGAATACAAGCAATAGAGTATTGCTTTCCCTGAAAGTGTCACACAGAGGTCATAGGTAGCACCAAGCTATGGAAACATGGTTCAGCTTCCACTCTCTCAGAGCTACATGAGATCAGAAATCACTTTGTTCTGCTGGAGAATTAGACCCTGGGATGGAGCTTTGTTCAAGGAATCAGCATGGCACCCACAGCCTGAGGGTTTCTTACCTTGGATCACTAAGGAAGCCTTCTGCACAAGTGTTCCCACCTCGTTCTGAGCAAGGCAGCTGAATTCCCCTTGAGATCCACCACTAAGATTTGCGACCTGGAGAATCTGTCCAGCTGCCAAGATGTGATGTGTCAGTCCAGTGACAGTGGCAACTGGTTTCCCACCATGGAACCAGGTGATATTGGGCGTAGGGTGGCCTTTGATGGGGCAGCCTAGGAGAGGAGAGAAGAGAATGGAAGCCATTTGTTAAGCCAGTCGTTAAGAACACATTCCTGATGAGCTGTTTTAGTGTTTCCATGACTTCCTGTTTGTTTGGGAATGCCATGGGTAAGGCTACATTATAGGAGACGGTTTTATTCTCTAGGATTCTGAGAGGGTGGTTATTATTCATTTAATTAAGTAAAAATTCTTAGAGAACACAAAGCACCCATCTCTATATTCTTATTATTTTTTTTAACGACTTGAAAACAATAATATACACTAAAAGGTGCTTAGGAGGAAGAAAAGGGAATAAAACAATAAGATAACTGCCTGACGCAAATAAACCTATTTTATTTAACTTTTTAAATTGAGGAAACATTTGTTATAATGCCAAGTATGATTTAGAAATATAGGAGGTACAGGATCCCACCTCTTTAGATGTCTGTCCCCACATCAACTCAACACCAGGGCACCCACTGTCCTCCACCATAGTCCATTGGCTATGCTTTCCCGCCCCCCACCACCCCGACTTGGGATTTGGCCACATGACCACTTTGGTCAATAAAATAAGTCATATCTTATACTAACAATGAGCAATCTGAAAAGGAAATTAAGAAAAATAACTCCATTAAGAATAGCATCACAATAATAACAATACAAAACAGAAACAGACAATTATAAACCAGAGACATCCTGCAGGGGAGGAGGAGGAAGAGGGATCAGAGGGAAGGAGGGAGGAGCACAGGGGACTAAGGTGATGTGCACGGGTGCACTGGTAGAGGAAATTCTATGGGGACTATACCTGAGGTGGGGTGGGGGGGAAGCAAATATTGTTTAAAAGTGAACAATGATGTAAAAAAAAAAAACATCAGAAAGAATACCTAAGAATAAATGAATGTGGTGAAAGTCTTATACAATGAAAACTACAAACATTGCTAAAAGAAATTAAGATATAAATAAGTGTGAAAACAGTTCATGCTAATGGATTAGAAGACTTTGTATTGTTTAGATGTCACTACTCCCACAAAGTGAACTAAAGAGTCAATGCAATCCTTCTCAAAATCAGTGATATTCTTTTTTTTTTTCAGATTTATTTATTTATTTATACAAGCACTGGGTACAGTCAGAATCGTGGGAGGGTGAGAGAATTCACCAGAGTCAGAGCAGGGAGCAGAGCAGGCAGAAGGACCGAAGTACACTGCTGAGGGGAGCAGCGGGCGGTAGGAGAGGTCTGCGCGCCATGTGGGACCCTCCTCCGGTTAGCCGGGGATCGAACCGGCGCTGCAGAGGCCGCGGGCAGCTTCGCAACCCAGTGCTCAACCGCTGTGCCACCGGGGAGGCCCAAAACCAGTGATATTCTTTTGCAGAAACAGAAAAATCCACCTTAAAATTTCTATGGAAATTCAAGGGATTATGAATATTCCCAAAACAATGTTGAAAAAGAAAGCCTAAGTTGGAGGTCTCCAACTCTCTGATTTCAACACTTACTATAAAGTCACAGAAATCGAAACAGTATAGTACTGGCATAAAGATAGACATATAAACCAATGGAATAGACACTCCAGAAATAAGCTTTTACATATATGGTCAAATGATTTTCCACCTGAGTGCCAAGACCAGTCAATAGGAAAAGGTGATCTTTCAACAAATGGTGCTGGGAAAAGTAGGTATCAACATGTAAGAAAAAGTTGAATCTTTACCTTACATCATATAAAAACAACTCAGAAAGGATCAAAGACCTAGAGTTAAGATCTAAAAGTATAAAACTCGTAGGAAAAAAATAAGGGACAAATTTCAAGATATTGGATTTGGCAATGATGATTTGGATATACCCCTAAAAGCACAGGCAATTAATAAAAGAGAGGAATTGGGCACCATCAAAATTAAAAGCTTTTGTGCAAAGGACACTGTCAAGAGAGTGAAAAGGCAACCACAGAATGTGAGAAAAGATGCGAAAATCATAGATACGATGGGAATAGATATCCAATAGATATAGAAAACTCTCACAATGCAACAATAATTGCAACCAACCAAATTAAAAACCAGGCGAAAAACTTGAATAGGAATTTTTCCAAACATACACAAATGACCAATAAGCACATGAAAAGATGCTCAGCATCAAGAATGGATGTCATGGAAATTCAAATAAAAAACATGAGATATGACTTCATATTCATTAGGATTGTTATTCTATTGTCATTTTTATAACAAGTGTTAGTGAAGAGGTAGGGAAATTAGAAACCTGTACATTGCTGATGTAAAAGGGTGCATTGCTGGCAGAAAACAGTGTGGGAGTTCTCAGAATTAAACATAGATACGATCTAGCAATTCTGCTTGTGAGTATGTGTCCAAAAATTGAGAACAGGGTATTAAAACAGGCATTATCAATAGTAACTGAAATATTAATCATGATGAATTAATACTAAGAAGATGAAAAGATCCCAAAGTCCATTGATGGATGGATGAACAAAATGTGGACATGTATGAAGGAATGTTATTCATTCTTTTTTTTTAAAGATTTATTTATTCATGCATACAAGAACTGGGGTACAGGCCAGATGTGTGGGAGGGTGAGAGGATTCACTAGAGACAGAGCAGGGAGCAGAACAGGCAGACTGACTGAAATACACAGCTGAGGGGAGCAGCAGGTGAGACAGGAGAGGTCTGCCGCACCATGTGGGATTCTCAAACCCGCGCTGCAGAGGCTGCGGACAGCTTCACAACTCTGTACTCAACCGCCTGCGCCACCAGGGGAGGCCCATGTTATTTATTCTTGAATGAAATTCTGATATATGCAACATGGATGGACCTTGAAAACAGTTTGCTAAGTGATTAAGTCAGACACAAAAGGGTAAACATGGTATGATTCCAACCATATGAGGTACCTAGGGTAGTCAAATCCACAGAAGCAGAAAGTAGACTCATCATTACCCAGAACTGGGGGTAGGAAGGCCTGGAGAATTATTACTTAATGAGTGCAGAGTTTCAGTTTGGGTTGATGAAAACGTTCTGGAGATGGAAAGTATAATGGTTGTACAACAATGTGAATGTAAATGATACCAGTGTACATTTAAAAGTGGTTAAAACAGTAAATTGTACATTATGTATGTTTTTCCATAATAAAAGAAATGAGGCAGACTTGTTGGTGAACCACTTCCAAACCTAGACCTCAAGAGACTGAGCTTTTGCTTGTGTTCTTGTGCCTTTGCCATCACCAGTAGAACATGCCTGGACTAGCCTGATGATCCCAGAGGAAGAGAGAAATATGGTGAAATAGTCAAGTCATTCCAGCCAATTCAGTTTAGAGCCACTGAATTAAGTACGATAAATAAGAATAACTTATTTACTTTAATATTTACTTTAAGCCACAGTGTTTTAGATTTTTATCAATGCAGTTGTGTGTGTGATACAGATAGAAGGTGCCACTCCTTGGCTTATAGATCTAAGGTCTAGGGCAGTCAGAGTTTCTACCTGTGTGCTGACCCTGTGCTTGCCTGACCTGCATCTTATTAGTTGCTGAAGTGCTTCCTCAAGTTACTGGGTGATATCAATCACATTCCCGTGGCAATGGCCTTGGGGTAAAGCGTATAGAAATCAGTACATTGGGCCCTCCTGGGATCAGAAGCACCCTTCCCCTAGAGTCCCAAACAGTCTGGAGTCAGAGGTTGATTGCATTTTCTAATAAAAAGGCAGGAAAACTCTGCTTATTTAGGCAAACAGCATAAACAATGAACCTTGAAACAAGTGCAGCTTTTCAGATAGATGGAAACAGGCTGTCTCCTTATCACATCTGATTTGAAGAAAAAAAGAAAGATACTATACCCTGTTAAGATGTAAGCTTCATGAATCATGCTGTTTGGTTAGTGAGGACAGACCTCTAGTGAGGTCGATTAGACTCCTAGTTGATAAACAAAACCTTGCTATTCCCAAGGAAATAGATATTTGGCCAAGAAACTTCTCATATTTATCCCTGATCTTCATTTTTTAAACTTCGTTACAATTGATTTTCTGAGAAACTATTTAGACAGAGAAAGCAATGGTGGCAGCCTCGGTCTGTTTTCTGTGACTGATAAAGTTACTTCTCTGGAAGCCAGAAATACTAGTCAGCTACCTAAGTGGTACATTTGCATAACAGTTGGATTCAGAAGCCATAGGAAACAGCCAGGACCCCTCTTTTGAGGGTCTGGGTCTTGGACATGTTCTCAAGGCGCTCCCATGCGGTAATCCTGGTGGGATGGAGTGAGGCAGAGTCCCAAGGGCAGGTGTGAGGGCTTCCATGCATGTGGAGTTCTTGAAACTCCATTTGAGAAAGACCCTTGGGGAGCAGCACCTACAATGATTTTCAGAGTCTGTCTTCTGAGTAATGTTCCTCACTCTAAAACCTATCAAGGTGAGGAGCAGTTTTGTAGACATTGTTTTTAAAAAAGAAAATACATGCACTTCGATTCATGACTCTCAAAGAGAACTCTAGATTTTGATAGGATTCTCTGGCTTCAATTTTCTAATCAGTCAATGGTTTTCAAATTGATGTGGAGTCTGCAGTGGTGCCTGGGAGGGGAGCCACAAACCTCCCCAAATTTTGGAAAAAAAAAAAAAAAAAAACAACCAAGATTTACAAATTACATAGGCACATCCAGGGCATGCTGTTAAAATTAGCAGATAAAGAAAAATCTTAAAAGCCATGATGGTGTAACAAGGACTGGGTTTACTCTTTTGCTATAAATAGCTAGAAAACTGGGCTTGAAGTGACTGTTTTTAGACACTAGACAAGACAGGAGAGGACTGTGATCCTTGAATAAAAGGGAAATTGACTGGGTAAACACTACGAATTCCCTGGCTTCCTGCCTAGAGGCACATTCTGAACTGCAAAGCATGGAGGTTGTGCTAGATTCCTAGGACAGCCATAACAAAGTACCACAAACTGTGTGGCTTAACAGAATTTTACTCTCACAGTTCTGCAGTTTCGGTATCAGAGATCAATGCGTCGGGAATATTATTCCCTTCTGAAGGA